GTTTCTGGCTTTAAATAACTTGCAATGGGTTGGTTAGCCGTAGAAAGCGAATACATTAATCAACCATTTTATTTCTATCAGTTTACGTCTAAAGGAGGCGTCTATACTCGTTCCCGCGGGCAAATGTTGAACTCGTCATCAAAAACATCGTATTGCGCTTCCTTTTTGTTTCCATTCAGTGTTTAGAGAATCGGCTTTCATCCAGAATATTAAAAGGATTTCAGAACGCTTAATAATCTTGTTGCGCAAAGAATTAAAGTCCTAATGGAGTCTGTGAATGGGAACATGTAGCAACGTTGGCTTGAGGCTTCAGTTAAGAAATGAGGTTCTACAGATGAACGCTGTGAACAACGAGGATATTTTAAGAAAAATTGAAACAAAAAGCACACTTACAGAAAGAATCAAAAAGCCAGTTGGAATTATTAAGAAACAAAATGAGGAAAGGGAACTTGGAGAACTTAACACTAACAGGACATATCGAAAGGATAGTAAAAAAATATACATTTCTAAAAGCAAAAAATAATGTGGAGAGCTCAGTTCGCCTACGCCATGAAGAGACAACACATTAAAGATTAAATACCTTTTTTTTCTTCTAATTGCTGTCGCGAAAACTGATTATAACTCCTGCTTATTGTTGTTTAACATTCTGTTTAAAAGAAAGTGAATCTGTCCTGGCTTCCGGTGTTATTTTAACGAACGTGTGATGAATACGTTCATTGTCCTAGAATCTTGTTATTAGACTGTTCGTGTGGCAAAATCAAATCCTGAATTAGTCAGGAAACAACTTGAATTTCTTGTTTTAACTCTTACTATTGTTTCTTTAAGAAATGTTAAGGTGAAATACTGGATAATATTATTTTAGTGGATATTTTTGGAACACACAATTAGGAAAGAAGGTTTGGAAATGTAGCACTCACAGGGTTCGTCGAAGGCAAGAGAAGCAGCTAGTAATTTTGATACAGAACAGCAGGATAGTAAAAAGCTGAGAGCGACAAAAGACGAAATTTTATGAAGTCAAGATAGCTCACTCTTGCACACAGAATGAGTGAGCATAATGTTTAGTGGGTTGGCTAATTCTATACTTAATTCATAAGTTTTCTACGAGAATATTTTACATGAATTAATCGTGGTGAAAGGGTACATGCGCAAAATAACAGACCGATTGATTTGCAATGCAAGATATCATTTAAAAGGAACGTTTAAGAGTTTCTTTTCCTAAGAATAAAATAGAATACACAACGAAAATTGCTAATGTATTTGAGTGTGACTTCTCTATGTTTGTGTGTGAAGCGTTCACAGCCCCTTTTGTTTCAGCGTGAAAATTTGATGGCACACACTTTGAAAGGAGGAAGAAAGTGTTACTTGAGTTTTCGCTTGTTTTTTATACCTTTGTTTGCTGGCGATATGTTTATTAAATCACTACAAATGCAAATATTAGGTTTCTTTTACTCCTGAATGTTTTAAATATATAATACAACTAATTACTTGTAAAATCTAAAATTCTTTTGTGATTTTAAATAACTCATTTAAAAAAAAAATGATACAGGAAATGTAATCCATGAAAGTAGTGATAGCTGGTTTATTTATTTGCAGCAGCTTTTCATTTTTGTTTCGTTGTATTTTTTTGGGTTTTTTTTTTTTTACATGAAGCTGATTTTCGTTTTGTCGTTGTTTTATTAATATTTGCTTCATTGATCTTTTTTTCTTATCTCGGTGTTTCGATGTTTTTCAAACTTGGAAGCAAATTATTTTTACGCAATAAATTACGCATTTCCTCTTTCTACAAAATTCTGTGTAAACAACACAGCCATTCAAAGACTTACAAACGCATACAGTTGTAGATGTTTAATGCAGGAAAAATCAAACGCTTGTCAAAATGCCGACAATTGACTTTTCCGGATATATTTAGATTTTTTTTTTCTCTTTGTACACAAATAATGAATAATCTGAACGCAGAATGCTTGACAGAAAATTGTACAAGTCGATATGGTTTCAGTGAAGTTAGAAGAAATATTAGCTACCATTTTCTTTTTTTTTTTTTTCCTTTCTGGTTAGTTTTTATTATTTTGTCGTTGTTAATTTCTTAGAGTTACCGAGCGGAACTCACGGTTAACTGAATTAGCGAACCAAATTTAAATTCCGGTTGAAGTTATTTTCTAAGAAAATGCATGCATCCATCTTTGCTTATAGGTTAGATCTGCTACCATGTTATCCAGTACAATCTCATGTTATTTGGCGATGTCGATCTCCTTTTTAATCATTGTCCAGAGAAATTCCAACATGATACATCTACTATCTATAAAAAACATTGGATGGTGTTATTTTATTGAATTTATATCTGATTTCGAAATCGGATGTCTTAAATGGGCCTAAACTTCATTAAACGTGTTGCGAAAACTCTTTCTCTTTCTTCCAAGGTTTATTTCATTGACACATTGCGTGTTCTAGGGTGGCTAAACAGGCCGGTCATTGTCAGACACGCTTACTAGATACTTGAGAATTGATATACGACAGTGGAGTTACCGGGGAAGTCGCTTTACTGTCGCTACTAAAGTCATTCCAATGTTGCCTCTTTCAATTTGTTTTCTATGGTGTTTTCATGCCTTCTCTTGAGAGATTTCAAATCTTCATGATATAGGACCAACATCCCACATGTTTTAAATCAGCGTCCTCTTACCTGAAGTTCCTCTTCAGAACGTCTTTATACCAAAGCCGTGGACATCGTCATTTAGTGACACTTCTCACTACTTGTCTCGTCCAGTGAATATGGACAGACATTACAGAGACAGCTATAACAATGAAACTAGATAAACCGGAATTTATTCTCACATTTTTTTTTCTTAAAAATTATTTCAAATTGTGATACCAAAATAAACTAAAGCGCAGCAGAATATTGAAAGATGTATTTTAAAAACTAAATAAATTATTTAAAAAACGGAAAATATCATTTGAAACAAGTGCTGAAATTCTTTGTAATATCAATCCTTCTATATGCCAGTGAATGCTGAAAAACTTCGTCACAGCTGAAGAGCAGACTTGAAACAACAGAAATACGGTTCTACAGAAGGATGCTAAGAATGCCATGGATTGAACATTTGTACAATGAAGAATTTCAAGAAAAGTGGAAACAAAAACAAAATTTATATCGAACCGTCGAAATTTCCGGGATACACAATGAGGAAAGAAGGCTTAGAAAATTTGAAGCTCACAGGGCATACTGAAGCTAGAATGGCAGACGGAATTCCCGATTAATTTACCGAAAGATCTTGTGTAAATGGATGGTAGAACAGGAATTTTAGTAAAAATAAGGGGAGAAAAATCTGCAAAACGTAGAAGAGCCAGAATCTCCCATTTTCTGAATGTACACGGCCACAGTAAAGAAGTGAGTTTTTTTGGGGGTTTTTTAACGTCTTAAATGCGATTCTTACTTACGGACAAACATACTGAACTTTGGGATATAAATAAAAGTAGAATGGTGGAGAAATAGCAGAATATTCTGAACATTCATGAGAAAAAGACCCAAAGAGAATCTGGTAAGTGGGTTTAAGAAATACATGAAAATTGATTAATTGCTTAATGGTGAATATAGAACTGATGTCTAGGTCAAACGTTATTCCATAATGGAAGTCGTAAACTAACTAGAGTAAGGCCGGTCGATTTTGGAACCCTGATATTGCACTTAATTTTAAAGTTAGATTGACATGATAAATGATGACAAAAAATATTTTTTCCAAAGAAAATATTTTTGAGGAAACTAGTTTCAAGATTAAGTTTAGATTAAGCCTTCGAGAACAGTCTTATAAAATTTATAATTTTCTGAAGCTTTACAAATTTTATATGGACAAGATGGCACAATTGCATTATTACTAAATCATTATGCCATAAAATAAGATAATTTATTTCAAAAGGAAATTATATTGAACAGTTTAGCTACATTATGATGTAATATGTTGTGCAGTAGTTTTAGTGCGATTTTCAATAAGCAATGCACATTTTAAACATTTTGTCTTATAAATGGTGCGCAGTAGTATTATGGTGTTATATACAATTTTATATATTTTTAGTTTTTATTAAGTATGATCTAACAAAACTTATTGATTGGTCAGCCTTTTTGGAATCTTTTGCAAGTTTTTTTTACACACATTTTACTTATACAGCAAAAAATATCTGCATATTTTGCTTATGGTGATTCATAATTAGAATCATGATTTGAATACATTTTATACCCGATGTATCTAATAAAAAGAATATCAACTTTATTTGGACTTATTCTTGAAATAGTAAACTTTTGAAGTCAGTTTGTAAGCAAAAACAAAAAAAGTGTTTTTGTACATCTTTTTTCAGATGATATTTAGAAGTAACTGCTCAAATGTTGGTAAAAGCTATGAATGTAATTTTTGGTATCACTACTTATGACATCAAATCTGACACTGAATGCAATGTTGATTTTCCAAAGAAAAATGAAAAATCAACCTGCCCTAGTGCTGGAGTAATATCTAAGGATATTATTGTTGGCAGTAAAAATTTATAAATCAATCAAATTATCAGTTGAAGATAGTTTCAAGATAAATGCTGAGAATTATAAATTCTTATACGAATTGTTTGTGTGTGATGTAAGTCATAACCAAGATGCTAAAAGCTAAACATATTCAGGCAAGACAATGCTTCTTCGCCTTCTGCGAAATTAACTGCCCACCAAAGAAACACAAAGTTTTCAAAGGCACCAAATTAACGAAATGTCTCCTAGACATTTCAGATATGAATTCAATAAGAAACTTGTAGTCCATCATTAAAAGAAATGTACGCTAGAACTGAAAATAAGGATTCAAGCAAAGAATTGATCTGAGAAATCAATAAAACTTACTGCAAATCGAATCAGTCGAAAAGTCTGAGTAGCTTATGAACGTTATAGAATGTCAAAGAACTTATATTTTCAAATAAAATAATGTATTCGTTTATATGATATACTGTGATATTCATATGTTTCTGAGCACTGTAGGCTTGCGGTCATATCACGTTGAAACATAGGTTCTCGTATGATTACCGAAGTTAAGCGACGTCGTACCTGGTTAGTATGTAGATGGGTGACTACTGGGGAATATTAGGTGTTGTAAGCTTGGATGTACGTGTAGAGTAATGTGTAACGGCTTCCGGGCGGATTTCTTATAGTTACCTTCCCACAACCCTTGAGAAAGGCATGAATTCACCTCTCCAAGCTATGGGGTAGGACTTGTATTAATAAATCATTATTATCTTTAAAAAATCGTTACCATCTAAAAGTATTTCGGACTTTAAATAACCTGTTAAAGTTTTTGTTTTTTTTTTGGGGGGGGTTGTTGTTTTTTTGTTGTTTGTTTTGTTTTTTACGGTTTATCAATCTATGCCTTGCGACTTTTAGATGTATTTATAAATAAAATGTTGTACTTAATTTACGTAATAAAATTTGACACCCCCAAAATTTGTTTTATCTATTCTTATTAAAATTTTATTTAACTCACCCGATATATTTACTAAAAAAAAAACAAATCTAATCTGAATGTTTTATGAAAGTTGGTTGTTTAATACCAATTTTATTTTGAAAACATTAACTTGCATAATAAAGTCTGACAGCGTATAGTTGTATTACCTCTTTTTCATCGGTTAATTTAGATCACTTAATAGTTACTTTTGATTAAAATATTCTCAACAAGCTGGAGGCTTCAAATTCTTTTCCAATCCACATTTTCTTTACGTTTTTTTTTTCTTCTCTCGATTTCTTTCTGTATCTATTTTTTTTCTCTTTTCTACGTTATATTCGTTCGGGGTAACGAATTTTTCGCCTGAAATTCTTTTATGTAGCAACCAATTCATTATCTCCGCGTTCTTTTATTTAGCACCCTGAGGAAACTTGAGAACTTAGGTTTAGAATTCCTTCCACATCACATCGTTAAAGATTTCAATTTTAAATTCTTCTTGCATGAGCTAAAAAAAATATCCTTTAACAACACCTTTTTATATATTTATTATGACTGTCGGTTTGACAGGCTGATGATGGAGTTTTATAGCCACACTTGCATGAAATGGAGACATAAGGCTCAAAAGCCTAACTTAAAATAATGGAAAAAACTTTCTTTCATAAGTTTTTTTTTTTCCATTTTTAGAAAGTTTTTCTTTGGAGATGCGAGATTGTGTAACAAATGTTTGTATGCTATGTTTGAAACGATACCCCAGAAAAATGTATTGGCCCACTACTTGCGCTAAACCCAATTTAAATTCTTTTTGTTTCACATTGCATCTTAACTGCCATGTACTTGTAAAATTTTCAGTCTATGCCAATCATTGAGTCTTTTATCTGTCTTTTAACGTAAATTCTTTTAACTTCATCATTGGACCGGCTGGTGAAATTGGACTTCAAACGTTTGAGATAGAGATTTGAAGAATTAGCAAGTAAACACTACCTCTGTAGATGTTTACCAGAAGGTTCATTTTGTCTCAAATATAGCACAATGCCTGTGTAACGTGGTGTCTTACGCATAAGTTGGACCAGAGTCCAATAATAATCTAATCTCATCGGTGCTTCACTCACAGGGAACGTTTAAGACGACGAGGTTTGCGTTCAAACTCTTCGACCACGCACCGGGCAAGAAGCCAAATTTTGCATACCAAAACGTAACTGCTATTATTTTATCATCATAGTGAACCATCTTTGACTTCCATCATTATGGCTGATGCTAACATCCAAAAGAGAGACGCCATTTTAGTACCACGTTTACTACTGTCATGAAGTGGTGTGATTATATTGAATCTATTGCTATGTCTGCTGCTAAGAAAGTTGATTCACTGTATCATGCTAGTCCTTTGTATAAATATTTCTATGGTAGATGTTCTAATGTGTTCTCCTCCTTGGTACCTCGACCGCATGAATTTAAGCGTCCGACTCGATTGGCAGATTGGCTTTGTCATTTTAAGGTTGAAATAGATGTAACCGTAAGTTCTAATAGTTTCTTTTCTCGCACTTCTCATAGGTGGAACTTTTCGGATTTCTTACTTCCTTGCCACCTAAGATCTTCAAAGATTTAATTGCAACATCCATCGCCATCTTCTACCATTCTGAATCCTGATATATCATTGTCTTTTCCTAAAGTTTTCTGATTCTATTCCACTCCCAATAAACCCTTTCGTCTTAGTGGCATTATCGCCTTTCTTGTAGTAAAATGATTAAAAAAACGTAACATGTTTTATGGGACAAGGGTATTATTTAGTGTTTGGTTTGAGAAAAATGCATTTCTTTTAATATAAGAGGCTGCTAAAATGACCCAACCAAGAAGAAATCCCACACACAAGAAAAATACTGTTTCATCGTTTGGCTACAATTTGAGATGTGGGTTGCGCTGTGAAATTCCTAACAACACTTGATTCATATAAAATACTCTAATAAATGATCTAGAAAAGGGCTACTCGACTTGATATTAAAAAGACTTGGCCCTTGCGATTCGTCTACTTCCACACCATAAGATTCATCTATTTTGTGGCAATTTTGTTTATGAATTCAATCTTGATGTGCCATGCGTCTTAAGGATATCCCTTCTATATTTGGACCAGTTGGAAAAAATTAAATTTAAACATTTCGGATAGTGATTTTCCTTGTTCCATTATATCCTAATTATAGTTTTTTTTTGTTTGTTTGTTGTTTTTTTTTTACATTTAGCGCATGAAATTTGCATGCAAATACAGATATTTGTCAAAACGATAACCTTGTTCCAAATTTAACACAAATTCCATTTAAAGTGAGATCCCGTTCTTGCGCGGAATCGGTCCAAAACATTTCTTGAACAAAAATCATGCATTTTCTTTACCACCCCTCTTTGTTCTTCTTCCATTCTTTCATTCAAACACATCAATCTGGTTACTCGCTGTTTCTCCCTTGCTCCTCTTTTCTGCAGTATGCTCTGTGAGTGTTCAATTCTCCGAGCTTTCCTTCCTCATTATGTGTTGCAGAAATTTAAATTTTCTTTCCGATTGTAATTCGGTTTCCTTGAAGTTCCTATTTTCTTTAAAACTTTATCGTTAATAACGTGTTATGTTCATGCTATTCATAGTATTTTTTCGGTAGAATCAATTCTTTGTCCCTTCGAACGCTTCCTTCATCTGTGAGGAGGTTGTCCAGCATTCACCTCCATTGAGGATATTAGATATTGTATAGCTTAAAGAGTGCTGAGCTGCTGACTAAAGAGGGAAAAACTGTACTGAAGATCTGTCTATCTACCCTTTTTTCTTAGTAGTTTCTTAGACATTTAATTTACTATGACAGTGCGTCAATGGTCTATTTCTTTCTTTCTCTTTCTTTCTTTCTTTCTTTTATAGTCTTAAAATTACTCTGGGTGACCTTCGTATAACTGTCTTCATTAATTGCCTTGTATTTAATACCTCCTCCATCTTTGGCCCATTCATCTGACACAGACGACCGTTATCGAACTTGTGTAATTGCTTCTGCCATCGCTATTACTCGACTTTCCAAACAATAATAAAATAATTACACTTTGGATCTCACCAGTTGCACTGGAGTATTAGAGACTTTTCTTTACATGCAGAAACAAGTTAGCTCAAAGGTTTGCTATTTCTTTTTATTCTGAACGAAGAATAATGAGATATATTAGTTATCAAGAACAATTTTATGTGAAATAAGAATGACAAAGTGGAAAACGTTTTCGTATGACGCGTTTTGTCCTTTAGGACTACATCGGACTAAGTTTGTTTATATCGATGCACTTACACATGCGCACGAAAGAAAGAAGAACGCTGATAATTTTAAATTTAAAAATATCTTTTAATGTATTTTGGATATATAATCTAACAACTCAAGAAGAAACATCAAGAAATTTAAATAAAAGATTATATGAACACAAAAGGGAAATTTTACAAAAGAACTCGTTAAATGCATTAGTTGCTCACTATAATAAAACTGACCACACTTATGATTTTAATAAATGCTACTCTAATTAAGAGAAAACAATTTACTAACTTGAATTTTTTTACAAAATGCTTTAATCACCAGGTCATCCACAATAAATTTGCGCCCAGATTCTTGCAACGTTTCACTATTCTTGGTATATATTCTATTATCACAGTGTGGGGTATTAAAGTGATGTAAATATAAACAGAAAGAGAAATATTTTATACCTAAAACACATAAAAAAAATGAATTATTTTTAAATTTAAAATTCTCGGCGTCTCTCTTTCGCTTGTGCGCATGTTTAGTCGCATTAAACTAAATGTGAACTTAGTCTGATGAAGTCCTAAATAAATAATTATTGACCGATTTTATCATTGTGTTATTGTTGCATTATATCAAGTATTAAGAATATAGCATCTAGGCTCTGCAAATTGAAGGAGAGTATTATTAATAATGATGTTCCGACTTCGAATTCGCAGTTATCTCCTTTTTAACCATCTCTTTTTTTATTTTTAAATGTAAGTTTTATTACATAAAATTTGGTGAGGAACAAACAAATTTTCCATCTTGAAAATGCGGCCCAGAGAAAAAAAAAGTTTGGGAACCACTACCCTAAAATAAAGAATAATGTAAATAGTTTCCTCTGTCTACATGAAAATGGATCCCCAGTGAAATGCGGAGTGTTCAGTTAACTTTGCAGGCCATGCTTGTTTTATAGACATTATCATAGACAAGATAGGATAAAATTAAATGCAAATATTTTTCTCTTGAAAGAGAAAAAAAATCATCTTTTACATTGTAAATAAATTGTGCTCGAAAAATCATTTTTTTAATGGGGTCTATCAATTCAAATCAGTTCGTTCATTATGAAAAGGATTTCAAAGAACAGTGCATTGTTCGACAGTCACATTCCAGCAGGACAATTGAAGACAAAATCAGTAGGAAGGATATAGACAGAAATATTGTATTAAGACATCAGAAAATTAATATATACTATTCTGGATAAATAACAATGCAGGTTTGTTTTTTTTTCTTTTCCTTTCTTTTCTTCTTTTTTTTTCTTTTTTTTCCTTTTTCTTTTTTATTTATTATAAAGACAAGCAATGCTTTATTTCGAAATGCTCAAGAATGTCGTCTCAATATAAAAGTATTGATAAAAACTTTGTTAATGTGAATCTCCTTT